CTATTTTTACGATCCTGGGAGTGCTCTACTTAGGTTTGAGATGAAGCAGGTAGTGTTTGAAATACAGCTTTTTGAAAGCTAAAACATTGCAACATTTCATCCTTGTTCATCTGTTCCCCGTGAGGCAACTCAAACTCTTCTTCCAGCTTTTCTTTCCTTGTTCCCACTTTGTCTCCCTTCTGCCACAGCTCCCTTCCTCAATGCAGTGGGGACAAAGTAGTAGCCAGCAAGGCATTGGCTTAAAAAATTAGTTTTATAAGCACAAGCAGCATTTACTTTAGAAAGGCTTGGAAAAGAACCTCTTCATTCCTTAAGAGGTCACTTTTTAACTTTTAGTTCAGTCCGTTTTACAAGAGAGATCCCCTTTTACATTACAGTGGAAGTTTTACAGTTATGCACAGGGATTTCTAGCTTCAGCAGCAGCATTTTCCTTTAAAATGCTGCCAACAGCACAAGCAGGCTTCACTTGGCCCTCCGAGACAAGATTTTTTTGCCTTGGAAGCAAAAACATATTTAAAAGAAGTTTCTTCTTTCTGCAGCCCAGATGGATATGTTCATTTCTTAACTCTATGGAAAAGCTAAAAATAGGGTTTGGTAGCATTAATGAACTGTGATGGATAGTAATGAACTATTTCAATACAATTCCATTCCTTGGATTACTTTCTAACCTGAGACGCATTTATTACAGCCTTACAGTGAAGAGAACATTACTGGTTCTATAGAGCCAGATCTATAAACTTTAACATATCCAAACCATATGCTTTTAAAAAAATAGTATTAATGGCAATAACCTATACTAGTATAAATGGCAGATGTGCTGCTAGACATGAGTAAAAAGGATCAGTGGTCCAATCCAGCCCTTAACAGTGTCATAAAGGCTTGAAACATTAAGCTTATTAGATGACTCTTGAATTAGAAGAGAGGAATTGGGAGTGCAATCTTGGCACTAAGGAAAGCCTCTTGGAACAAGGATCTCTCATCTCTAGATTTGTCTTTAGCACTGATGGCATTTAGAAAGCAACTGCAAACCTCTTTGGTATATGACGCCGGATGTATCCTACAGAGCACGGTAGCTCACTGTCATCCACAGTGGCCCAAATGTCTGTCCAATCCAAACCCACTAATGCCATTGGCTTGCTATCAGTGATGTAGGTATGTGACAGATCCTTCTAGTTTCATGGAAAAGACTAATAAATAACACAACTCTCAAGAATACTAGGATTTCAAGTGCTATGATACAGCATCCACGTATTTATCCGATTACACTGTATGTACTCCAGATGATCTAACATCTAAATACTGTACTTGTGTTATATACAGAAGCAATTAACTGCAAAACATGCAGAGGTGGAAAGACGCAAATAAAACCACTTCCAAGTTGCTTTGCCACAGTTCAGCTGGGTTTATGTCCACAACTACATCCCTTGTTCTGGGTTCTGAAATTTGCTCCAAGTCAGATTTCTCTCTTTTAAGCCAGTAAGTTGCAAATTATCGTGTACCACAGCCAACGATATAGCTGTAAGTATGAAAGAGGCAGCTTTAAAAGTTATCCTATTTACTCATTAAAGTCAGAAGGCAGCATCAGCCACAAATAAAGTTTCAGACCAAGAAAGTTCCATTTCTATGATGAAGATGGAGGATAATGAAAGGGAGCTCCTGGCCTCACTGCCAGGAAGTTCTGGGACAAAATGCTATTATTCACAGGTGGGGGCTGCATGCCGTTGGATGACTCCATACCCTGTTCGGTGGTTACCAGCAGAAAACCAAACAAAACCCACCACCCACAAGCCAAACCCTTTTCAGAAAAGCAGCTCTGTGGTGAGCACCTCTCCACTGACATCCTGGAGAAGAAAAGGAAGGAACAAAGGGCAGAGACGGGGGACTAAAAGTGTACTGGCCAGAGCAAGGACTGGGAAGAGAGGTACCGCAGCAAGTACTACAGCACCAAAAAGATAAGCTACCCGTACACACACCCATTCTCCTAGATACTGAAATGGTAAACAAACACACCTCTCCCAACTAAATCTCTCCACTTCCCCAACAACGTACATTGTCCCGAGACTTGTTTCTGACATCAACTCTGCATCTAAAATTTTTTATGGCATTTTATACTCCACTCCTCTCCAGTGGTCTCCTCCAGTTCCACCAAATTCCTCTGCCAGGCACGCAATAATGCGCATTCCAAGCACCCTAAGTATCATTCACACACTGAGCTCTCCGCTGCAGTCTACAGCTCAACAGTCCAGTGAATAAAGCACTTAAAATCATGCTCTAACAGATGGGAGATTTGGAGAAAGAAAATAAAAACAAGGATAGGCTTTTTAAATTTCATTGAAACAGCGTAGTTTATCCCTGAGCATAGCTGACACGCTCATAAGCTTAAAAAAAAAAATAAACTAGGCAGTTTGCTTCCTCATCCCTCCAGTTCAAGCATGAAAATACAACAGCTGACGGAAAAAGGAGAGCAAATACTCCTCAATATTGAGTGGTCCAGACAAATAGATATACTGCTAGGTATCTTTAGGTGATGAGGTTGAAACAGTCTGGTCCACTTCTGGTATAACTCACAAACTTGAGAATCCAATTACCATTTTAGAGGAAAACATGCCTTTTCCCTCCTCAATACTATTATACAAAACCTCTTCCAGCCAAATTCCTTCCAGACTTAGAAAGGCACAGCAAGTTTTCTACAAGTCCTACAAGGGAGGAAGAAAAAGGCATAAAATCTGCATTACTGTCATGAAGTGAAGTGCACTTGAGAAAAATAAATCTGAGGAATGGAAGGAAGAGGATTAGTAGCAGAAGACATCTCCAACCGAACATGCTTACTTACACAGTAGATCCTCTCCTCCTGACTGATCCACCGTATTTGAAAATGCTAAAATTCATTTTACCAAAGACAAAGCCAATTCACACCTCTTCTTTCTTTCAACAGGGGTATCACACAAATTTTTAACTTATGTTGTCTTCCACTGAATGACGATTAAATGCTATTGAAGGGAACAAAAACAAGAGATGGGGAACTGACAGAAAACAGCGATGTAGACATTTACAGCGATCACAGACCATTCGGTAATTTTGATTTGCTACACAATGTTATTTCCAGCCCCGAAATTAAAGCTGGCCACCGATGGAAAAGAACAGAATTCAGCCTGCATACTCAGCAAGCTGATGATGACAAGTAGGAAGCGTTGTTATTGCAGAAAGATGTGGGAAATCATGTGCAACAGAAGGGCAAGTCACCTCTTCCTGCCTTTTTGGTTTGGTACACAGATTGCATCCTTCTCCCTGATTTTGGAGGATACAAAGCTGTTCTACCTTCAATCAGCAGTATGCACCTCAGAATCTGCTACTTTTGTGACAGCTGTCTCAGAAATTTAAATTTAAAGAGATATACACCTTCCAAAATAAGAAGTTGCACAATGCATTTTCAGTACTACAGTCTCAGGCTACACTCACTTCATAACCAGAAAACATCGTTGAAAACAACAGGAGCTAGTGGTGGCAGTACGTCTCTACTCCGGACTCTTAATAAAAGCAAACGAAGGGTGCAGGGAGACCAAGCTTTCTAGGTTCATCAACTAGAAACCTGGAAAAACATATCAGACAACACATTCTTGCTCATAAGCAGCGAGAGTTATGTTCATTTGGTGGTGTGTACCTAAGCCCTTGGCTGGCTCAGGATCTCCACGTCACTGAATGAGACAAACAGAGCTGACATCCAGCAAAGTGGTTCACTCTTCTCTTTCCTTCTCGAGCAATCAGTTTGGATGCTCTCTCAGTTGTACATGTTGCCATGAACGGAGAGACGCTGAGCAAATTAGAAGAGCCAAATCCTGCTCTCCGTTACTCAGACCCAAGAACCACCATAATTTTACACAGTAGTACTTTCCTCACTGCCTTCCTTCACAAGATTAATTTTAGAAGAGTCGTAATAACCACCTATCCTAATAGCTTCAAAAGCACATCACATCACGTACGCGGGTCTTCTCAGCTAAGACATGGTCAGTTCTCTGACAGCGAGGAACAAAAGCCTCAGTGCTGTTAAAGGTTTGCTCACTACAACTTCAATGCTACGTAACAGCCATGTGCTAGAAACTCTAAGTACTTGGAAGATTTGCATCATCTTCAGCTCCCCCATTGAGACCCAAGCTCTCCACATACTTTAAGAAGAAATGGGTATTTTAAATTCATAAACATGAACTAGAACTCCAGTGTTACATTTTCACAGGGTAAAAAAATACAAAACAAAAAAACAAACTAAAACCACAAACAAAAACCTACCTTCACTCACAGAGGGCACTCTGTTTGAAAGCCTCAAATTCACCTCCTACTGTCCCCACGCTGTGCTACTCCCTCCCATATAAAAAGAGAGGTGTCAATAGACAAATCACTCTAGGTTCAAGAGAGCTCTTTGTTAATCCTTCTACCATTTAAAACCGTAATAACACTTCCAAACTTCCTGCTATATAAAGATGTACCCTGTACTGAAGCAACTAGGTTTGAAGTTACAAGAATTCTACATGTATTCAGGCAAAATACTCCCCTGAATTCTAACAGGCAATATAAAACAAATCAGAAATATGTCAACTCTGAATAAATTCTAGCTTAGTGAATTAAGACTTAGTTTGAAGGAAAACAGGTAGCCTGAATGTAACAGCCAGTAAGTTCCATACTGATACTAGAAATAATTTTTGAAATTAAAGTACCTTAAAAGCTTTTTTTAATGCAGCACTTCTCACCACAAAGTCCATGAAAAAACACAGATCAGTAAAATGAAAACATTCAAAACACAAACAAGAAAACAAACAAAACCCAAAACCCCATATTCCACGATGAGGCAAAGCAGGTAAGTGCAAAGCAGTAACAAGAAACAGTAGATTCCTATTCCTGTAAGCACTTTTTTTTTATTCCAGAAGAGCTGGAATAAAGTTCTTTTGAAAGCTTTTGACAGCCACCAATGAATACATTTGATTCAAACACACAAGGGACATCAAAAGTTAGGAAGACAATTTATTACATATTATTTTCATCATATAATATCATTCTTCTACATTTTAAGATGTACAACAAAAATAAAAAACACATTTTCTTCTACTTTAATTCTATAGTAGAAAGTTTAGAATTTTTTATTTGCTTTCCATATAATGGAAAACTATGGTAAATTCTCAGTCTTTTGGTGAAACAAGCCTGTCTTGACAGAAAATGCACTGATTGGTTGCTCAGGATACATTAGGAAGCACTTCATTGCTACTTATTTTGGTAAAATAAAAAAAGAGCTAAATTCTCTCTCCCTCTTTTAAGGACACGGCTTATCTTCAATCACAGGCTTTCAAAACCATCTAGGATTGTTCCGCTGTAGCCTGATCCTTGGCAGTTAGAACCAGCTCTGTAAGGGCTGAAAAGCTTTTTATGCTGCTTGTTTCCAGTCCCATCTTTCGTATCTAAAAAGACACAGAAGAAACATTAATTTTCTTTGAAACATCAAAAGCTCACTAATTTTTCTACTTAAAACATTTCACAAAGCATATGTTTTGTCCTGCATTGACATGTGGCACTGCATATAGCACACACTGGAAAAAAAAATATTTGTATCCAACTTTGCTCAGTTAAGGCTTTCCAGTTAATGCAGTGTCTTGCACGGAAATATTTAACCACCTTCTAGGCAACTTGTAACTGAAGCCAGTTGGAAGTTTTCCAGTGAAACAGTCAGAAAGAGAAACTTGGCTGTACATTTGTTTTTAATGCATTGATTTCAACCGAAATTTTTTCAAACCCCAAGTAAAGTTTCTGGGCAAAACTTTAAAGATAAACATGAACACATCCAAGAACAGCCGACAGCATCATGATGAAGGCATTTCAATAGGCTGCAAGAGCCTATGGTTCTAGCCTCAAACTTCCTGGGGGATGAAAACCGCTCTACAAATAGAGAGGTTGCTACGACTCATTTCCTACCCAGGAAATCCACTGCTCTGACAATTAGAAAAATACAGCCATGAGAAAGCTAAGAGTGCACTGAAAAAGAAAAATCTGGATCTAAATAAAACCATAATGAAAGGATTCTGAACAGGTGTTCGCTGCTGGAACTCTTTGTAATGTTCACACGCACCAAACAGCTCCTAAATGATTATCAATAATCTATCCCAGTTCAGCCTAGATTCACATTGCAGTGACGTCAGTGCACGTAATAGGAATAAAAGAACAAAAGCCCAACCCCGGCCAAAACCTGCCAAATAACAGCTCTTGTCAGTAAGATTTCCATATGCCCACTCGAATCTTCTTCCTTTGTGATAAGTCTCAGATATGAGAAAAGCAGCACCTGCTCACACCCAGGCAGACTTTATCTACCTGTTACACTGCATCAACAGCATCTGCTCATGAACAAGACTGACAACTGCTTGGCAACTAATGACAGGGACTTGCACTTGGAAGTTTGTTTGTTTCTTTATATAATTCTCAGAAATAAACGAGTACAAAACAGTACGCTTATACAATTTGATGTAGCTACTGCACACATTTCCTGGAGTATCATCATCTTTTATTTGTTTTGTTATTTAAGGTCTCATATTTGGCACTGAAAGGAACTTACAGTTACACAGCACAACAAGTAAGGCTAACATCTTCAAAGTGCTTGGGAATAGACCCTTGACTACGCAGTAAGTCAAGCCTGGAAACATCCAGAGAGAAGGCAAACAAAAGCAGGGCCATACAGATGCTTCCATCAGAGCTAAGGAAGGTCCCTGCCCCCTGATCTGTCCACAGAGTGTTTGATCTTTGTGCTTCTAAGACCTAAGCAGTACTTGAATTTTTAATAAGAAATACAAGCTTTGCAGTTGTGTAAGAAAGGACAGGAAAGCATGCATTCGGTAAGCGGTATCTACAAATCACCAAGGTCTCAAGTCACCTCCTTTATACAAAACAAAACCAAAGCAAAACCTCCAAAAACCAAAACCACACTGACAAAGCTTTCACGACCAAAAAACTAAGTCAAGCTTCCCTCTCCTCCTCCATCTCATTCCCTTCCAAAACCAGTAATAACAGTCAACAAACTTGTTTCTCATAACTTACTTGTTCTCCAAAATACTCTACATCTAGGGCCAGCTGCAGACGGATTTTGTTATCATCACTCATGCCCCCATTTGTACCAACAGGGTTTGAGGTTGCAGTTCTTCTGGCTTGCTTCAACCTTTTTAGGCTTTCTTCCATTTTCTTAACAGAACTCAGCACATCAGATACAGTTTCATAATACCTAAATTAAGGAATATTATTGAGAAAGAAAAAAATTACACTTTTACAGAAAAGTCTACTTCATACACATCCCTACATCACTGGCCCTGAGAAAAATGCTGAACAATGCTGAAAGGAGTAGTTTGCCTTGTGAGGAAGCTGCTTATAGTTCCATCATTATCAATTAATCAGTATTTCCATCATTAGTTCTAGAGGTCAATCTGAAGATTACTACTCAGTTTTGAAGTCTCCTTCCCATCATAACATTTTTGACCTGCTCAAGATGTTTGAACTCTATTGAGATCAAGGAATGCAACAGCTCAATTTCAAACAGTCTGAATCAGCCTCTGTTTACCACCAACAGCATTAAGTAAAATTCCTTTTACAAACACGACAAGAATAACAGCCCAATAGACAAAAAAAATACAGAGTTTTAGACAAGTTATAGAAGCTGAGGTGTATATGAGAGCATGCAAGCGCACACCAGACAGACATGCCTATTTCTAAAATGAAGAAACTGATCTAGGGCTCTCAGGAAGTTGTCAGGAAGTCACAACACTAATGCCAAGTTAGAAATGGTGTAGACGGAATAAAACACCACTTCCCACATACTGGGATCCACGTTAAAGAAAACGTAGAACCAAACAAGGTGAACAAATCAACTAATCTACAAAAGTTCAAAAAGCCTTATGGACTGAAATCTCATGCCTAAACAGGAAGGGAATAATATCATATAAACTAACAAACAGATGCCCAGGACAGCGAGCTGTTAAGAGGAGAAAATATGAGCAACAACAGGAAATTAGAGGATCCATAACAGAAGTGACCAGATTGAGTTATGTTCTATAATTCGCTAAAAATCTGTAACTTTCAATGGAACTTCTCTATGACAGTGATCAAACTACTACCGTAAGAATTAGAAAAGCTGAAAGAACCTTCTCAATGCTGACTTCTAAACAGAGAGGCAAAAGAAAGTAGGCAAGCCTTTTTTAAGGGACAATTAGACAGGAATGGCTAAAGAAAAAGTGCTTGCCAGTGCCATGGACGCTGTTTCAAGGTACCATCCTACAAAAAGTAAAAGTATACCAGTAAAAGTCAACCCCGCTCTTTTCCTATCTTAGTATTTCCTAGTCCCTCTCACTCATGAAGACTTCGTACTGCTGCTGTACTTTGAAGTTCCTCTACCATTTAAGCAAGTTTAGTCCTCAGTGATTTTTAACCAGTTTATGCTTTTTTCTCTTTTTCTCATCTGGATGCAAGATACTGTCACAGCAGGAAATTAAATGAATCACTTGCATCTGCACTCTCAATGAAGAAACTCCAATTCCTCCATTTAAGAATTCAGCTTGTCTCTTGTTCAGCGAGGGTAAGACATTTCAAAACAAACTGATCAAAACAATAACAACAAATAATGAAAACAGAATTCAACAGAAAATTTTAAGGAATTAACAAATGAACCTGCCAATCTTCCCTGTGTTTAACCACTGGGAACTAGTAAGTAAGTACCCGAGAGGTGCCAAAAGTGGAGCAGCAGGGAGTGATGAGGAGGCAAAGGGCAAGAAAGAACTCATGTTCTGACTATAGTTTAAAGCCTCAGTATGATGTGGCTAATTCTCAGAAAACATCAATCCAATGCTCAGCAGAGTCAAGAGACAAGCCGATATGCTAAGCATTATTAGGAAAATCATGTAAGGACAGACAGAAATCACAGCATCATACTTTAACCTGCACAGACTCTTCTGATCATACCATCTATGACCAGAAAGGACAAAGAAAACCAGCAAACAACTATAAAAATAGGAAGAGGAAAGAAATGTCAAAATAGGCTAAGGGGACTCTTTAGCCTGAAGCAAGAGATATAAAAAATTACAGCTGGCGTGAGGAATAAACTGTCCACAATGCCAGAAGTAGGGGGTACCCAGTGAAATTTTATCTGGCAGAACGTCCAAACAAAAGCAAGTTTTGCTTCCTCATGTTACACAGTTTAACTGGCTGAACTCACAGAATGCAACATCCCATGGCAGTATGAATTTAAAATACAGCTAGACAAATATACAAAACAAAATCCCCTAATGAACTTAATGCAGATGGATATTCCTACTCAAGAAGGCCTCATGATGCTAACTAGGAACCAGAAGATCTTCTAGATAAAGTACTGCTTTACTGCCTTATTAAACTGTGAACAGTTAGACTCTTCGGCAGTTAAAAAAAAATCCAAAGTGTGGTTTGTTTGGTTTTTTGTTTGGTTGTGTTTTTTTTTTTTTTTTTTTTTAAACCACTAAAAAGTTGGATAATCATTACATATGTTAAAAAAGTCAGAGGAAAGCAGAACTCAAGTTTCTTGAAAATTTCACCATTGTTCACTGAAAATAACATGAGGTTAAGGTCTTATGTCAATTCTGAAACAAAATGTAAATTTTTAGTTCACTGTTCCATTACTAGAGCTAAATCAATTTTTCAAATGCCCTACCCACAATGTCATGGTTTGCACAGGTCTGAGCAGAAGCCTGTTCTCTGGATTCCCTGCCCTGCTTTTCATCTGCTTAATAAACACCAGAGTAAATCTGAAGAAATACACCCTGCCAAAAGAGCGGTATATTCTTGTTTTCTTTACAGTTACGTTAATTCATAGTGTTTTGGTTTTTTTCCTGTGCCCATTCAATGGACACTGGAGTTTTTATTTAATACAAAGAATGTTCTGTATGGTTCTCTTACTTCTGTGTGCTTTCAGAGAGGGCACCTTCCAACCAGTGATGAATCATGGGCTGCTTCAAGGTATCTTTGTATTCATTCTGCAATCGGTAGAAGGGCTTAAGAGCGCTGTCAACATAAGGTGAAGCTTTAGTTGGCACCTCCTGGTAGATGACAGGGAAACAAGGTGGGGGGAAAGAAGCAGTAATTTACTTACTGAAAGTATCAACACCAAATTCTAGCACATATATAAAATGCTAAGCCTGCACTTCAGCAAAGAGACACATGCACCACTCATGACAAATCAATGAAGAGGTCATCACACATAGGAAAGACACCATCACAAAATCATCCAGTAGTGTTACACAGGGTGGTGTAGTACAGAACAAGGTTCAAAATGACCAAAGCTTTTTGAGAGATGCATGTGCCAGGCCAGCCACTCCTATTATCAGGGCATGATCCTGAATGCTCTTTCTGCTCACACAGATTTCAGAAAAAGCTGATCAGACTTGGTGTCCACAACAGACTATTGTATCTTTGTTAAAATACCTACTATTTCGTACTATACTTCGCTAAATTGATGACATTGTTCCTTCTGTTCTTCTATCACCCTGCTCCCTCAGTATATTTTCCAGAATAATGCTTTTGGGATAACTAGGATTCCCTCAGTACCATCTTCTCAGCTAGTTTTGGTTGCAGAATGCTTCATCTCTCCAGGGATGATTACACACATGGCTTGGGTGAACCTCACGCATTGCAAAGCAACAGAACGTATCCAGGATACAGAAAATCTCTGACACCTGAAGTACCTTATTAACCTCTTAAATAAGAGTTCCAAATTTCAGAACTTGGCCAAGCAAAATAGTCTTTGCACATCCAATTCCTGCAAAGACTATCTTCATGCCAAATTCTGAATTCTGCTGAAAAATCAAAGTATTAGGACATAGTAAAAACAAAGTTGCCAGGACTTCACATGACTGTAATAATGTACCTTCTCTACCCAAGTTGTCTCTCTCCTGTTTATCAGTTCAGGCTTCACACCACATAAAGCCAGTTAGACTGACGGCCAAGAGAGCAATGCAGTCACACTCGGGGAGTACAGAGCTCAAGCTAGCAACTCGACTGACTTGAAGGTGGCCAGGTCCTATGGCGCTTTTTCGGCACAGTTAGCCCACCACCTGCTTAGACACCCCATGGACAACTGAGAGATTACTGCAGTCCATAAAATCACTACGCAGAGTTTGCTTTCAGATAACTGAGCTAAGCAGTGTAGGGTTGTTGGGTTTTTCACCCTCCTTGGACTTATACACTTTGTTCAACTCTTTCCTTAACTTTAAAGTAAAAATATTCTCTGTTAAAGACAGAACAATCTAGTCACTACATAGATGAATTTATTAGCCTTGAGTTGTTTCTTCTTTTTAGATAAAATTTCTGATTATGTCCTTAAAACTAAGACAGTGAGAAATCCTAGTAATAAACTAATAAACTACTCCCTTAGGAACAATTAATCTTCCAGCTTACCCTAAAAGTTTAGCACTCAAAGAAAATTTAATAACCTTAAAAGAAGACAACTGATCAGCCCTATTTTTTTTTTTTTTCCATTTAGCCACTGAAAAAGTACAGCATTGCTGGTGGCAGCGCAGTTTCTTCATGCTGGCCAGGAAAGTGCTCTTGATTTTGGTGAGTCAAGGCAACCCCCCCCCCCCCAAACAAAAACACCCCACAAACAAGTAGGAAGAGAAAGCAAGGGGAGACAGGTGAATAGGGAAGAACTGCAGCCTTTCCCATTTCAGCCTGCCTTCTGTGTTCTAGCAGACTGTGGTTCCTGTTACTCCAATTTTTCCTCTGTTGTCTGAATTATATCAAGCTAACTACCAACACGACTATGCAGAGAGCCTGGCAAAGGAGGCAAGTCACAGTAGCAAAACAAGCCAAGATCAGACAATTAGTTTTGGTACTGTATTTCACCATTACTTTTTATTAGTTTCTCAACAAATTACTCTTTTTTTTTAGTCATTCTCATCTTGTTCCTTTTGTGCAAGATACTTCTTGAATCAAATCCAAGCAGCTAGCTCACTGGAATGAAGTCTCTCGACATAGCAGACAGAAGTGTCACCCTCCCAAAAGAAGCCTGCTACTCAGCAGCACTGCATCTTATGAGATATGCTGTGACATGAGGGGAAACACATTTATTCTCATTAACCCTCTTCCTTTTGTGCATCAACAGCTCTTGCCCTTCCTTCTATCTCAGGCATGTGCTATCATCCTTGTTACCCTACCTAAAATGTTGAAAATACCTTTTGTTTGCTTTGCAATGAGGTAAACCATAAATCACTAAGTTACCTCAAGGTATTTAATAGGGCTCTTGACTGTCAAGCAGATATAGACAGACCTGAAGAACTCATAAATGTACTGCCTCGTTAACGTTCTTAGCATGACCTTTCTGAGATTTATTTTTTCAGCTGCAACCAGCACTGACCTTATTGGTTCTCCTATATAATCTTGGAACTTCCAGTGCACTCTTCAGGTAAGCGAAGGAGGACTCACTGAGATCCTGGATAATCCTGTTATTCAAGGTAGGCACACAGGCTGATAAAGAAGTCTTTGAGTCTTCCAAGGCTCCTATTGAAGTAAAAATGCTAACATTTAAACTGAGCTACCTGCCCAATCACAACACAAATGATGAACCCCCCCCCCCATCATCCCAGTGTCACTCACTATACTAGATGGCTGCTGGTGTCAAATACAGGATTCTTACTAAATAAACACACACCAGCCGTATATAAAACATCACCAATAACATCGACCATTCCTCAGCCAGAAAAACAGATGGAGGGAAGGAAATAAAAAAGGAGTAAAGTAACATTCTCCAGGTTCATAGTTTTTTTCACTATTACCAATGTAGCAAAGGGCTTGAATCAAAAGGCTCTGACCTATCAAGGAAACTGTGGTTGTGAAATTCTCTCTTGCAGTACCTAAATTCCCTACGGAGTGACTGGAACATGCTCAACTTAATGTTGTGATTGACAACAGACCATCTACTGACCGGGGGACGTGCACAAGCTCCTACTTCTCTTATGGGCGTGGACACCTACCAATAAACCTGATGTAGAGATTCAAGTGGAATTCACAGTGCAGAACTTATGGCTATATTTGAAGATAGGGACTAGGTCACTCAGCTACATGCCTGGCTTTAATTACTAAATTAAAATCAGACTACATGTTTCACATGGAGAATGATCAGATCTAAAAACAAACAAAAAAAACCAAACAGAAAAAAAAAGAGGCTAAAATACTTAATTGCTTCTGTCCTCTGAAGTTAAGGTATCTGCCTACGAAACCTTGATAACTTTCCTCTTCACATGATTGACCAGGCCAGAGAGAGAAAATTCTTTTTAGAAAAATAGTCTAGCTTCAATTGGATAACAGAAAGCCTCTCCTTACTTCTTCCTCATCTCCTTTACAGGTAGGACACGAATCTTCCAGTTTACTGTCCCCCACTTCCTGGAAAAGCATCCTAGTAACTGGACAATGACGAGTTACTTACAAAAAAAACCTAAACAAAACTCTCCCACAAAAAACCACCCCAAAACCCCAAAGCACTTCAGACTCACTCAGTTTTAATCAGATGTTTTCCAGACTCAACAAAATAGTTTCTATTTAACAATTTAAACCTAAAGCAAGCTTCATTAAGTAATAAAAACATTAGTATTTTAAAATATTTCATTGTAAATAATGAAACTGCATGTAAAGGCTGATTCTGTTTGGTTGGCAGAGGAGATTTGGGAGAAAGGGGAAAGAGACTCAATTCAGCCTCTCAGCTTTACCTGCAATACAAGATACATTCTTGAAGCCAATCATTTCAAGTTTTGGTTTAATCATTTCTAAGATGTCAGGAATCTGAACAAAAAAACCCAAGAGAGATACAGTCATGTTATAAAAAAATATTTTAATTACTTTTCCTACATTCTGTAAGTTTCTGTGCTTCAAAAGACACTTTCAAACTTTTTTGTATTTTTACTGCATTTATGGGTGTGCTCATTTCGGCTGGGATAGAGTTAATTTTCTTCACAGTAGCTGGTACAGTGCTGTTTTGGATTTGTGCTGACAACAGTGCTGATAATAACCCGGTCAACATGACTGCGCAATGTGAATTTGCAGTGCAGAAAGCCAATCACATCCTGGGCTGTATCAAGACAACTGTGGCCAGCCGGTCGAGGGAGGTGATTCTCCCCCTCTACTCTGCTCTGGTGAGACCCCACCTGCAGTGCTGTGTCCAGCTCTGGGGCCCTCAGCACAAGAAAGACATGGACCTGCTCGAGCAGGTCCAGAGGAGGGCCATGAAGATGACCAGGGGGCTGGAGCACCTCTGCTATGAGGACAGGCTGAGAGAGTTGGGGTGTTCAGCCTGGAGAAGAGAAGGCTCCGGGGAGACCTTACAGAGACCTTTCAGTGCTTAAAGGGAGCCTACAGGAAA